GTACAAATTGCCTTGTATTATTTATTTACTGAGCTATCTAGAATTAGTTTGAAACTATTTTCAGAACCCACCTCAAAGGTGGAATCGAACTGCTATTGCAGGTAATTCCAGGAATTTCCTTGTTTTACTTAATTAAACCAGGTGAAATAATAACATAAAATGAGTATTGAGAACTTTGCAAAACAAAGTATTTATTCTGCATTTTAAACTCCTGGTATGGGCATTCCTAAATATAGATTGTCTACGTGAGGTCAGCAGGGGAGGCTCTGAGTTTCTGTAGCTATCCTATATTAGCTGTATACTGGGAGTGTTAAGTGACAGAAAACAGTTATGTCAATAGGTTAGAGAAGTGATTTGATGCTTGTAGCTAAACCAAGCTGGATATTCAGATAGTTGTACGTGTCATGTTCCTTCAAAAGGCCAGCTGTGAACCAGACTAACTCCAAACATAGCTAACGGTGTATTTCCCAGTGCAAAAGAAAAATATTGCTCAAGATAAGAACTGTACAATATTGCGTGTTGGTTTGTATACTGCATATGAGGTGACCTATGGCTGCTGAATTTGGAGACTCAATTTCAGGTGCTCGTCCCCTAACAAGCTGTTTTATGATAGTTAACAGGACGACATTTTCATGCTAGCTGTAATGCCCAAAAAAGGTTGTTTGAGATTGTTTACATGGTGCTGAGCTAAATACATGTCTGTGGAATACAAATGTCAATGCTAGCAGGAAAAATAAACGTTTTTGAAGAAAAATAGGTGATCTAGCCCACAGGTCTTGCCAAGTCTGGTTCTGAAGTATTTCACATGCATCTGTCCATTTGACAGTCTTGCTATAAATGGGCTTCACGCCTTGGGGATGATAAAGACAGAGTGGATTGTAATCCCACTGGAAAGTGAAGGCTATTAGAAGTTAATTATAACACTTCATTTTTGTAACAATCCAACTGGGATTTTATAACCTTAATGACCACTTGTGTGAGTTCTTGCACAATCTGTAACTCAGCAATTATTCCCAAATCTCACAGGGCTAATATTGCAGCTGATGAGGTGTCACTAGGACTTTACCCCTTCCTTTGGACTCTGTCAGCATTTAGTCTGACGATGGAGAAGAGAATTAACATGGCTGTAATGAGGAAATTTGTTAAGGCCAGGCTTCCCATTCCTGCAGTACTGCCTTTGTGATTTGCTGTTTTGTGAGAGGAGACATATTTTCCATTCTGTGTATTGTATGCTCTGTTATTCATCTTGTGACCACAGACTTTTAACATAAAGGCCTGTTGTTTCTATGACATTGTTTCATTTCTTCCACAGCATAGTGGTCTGTGGTCTTCCTGGACCTGTGATGCTGGTGGTGGCAAAAAGGATATTTGGGGGAGTGGGAAAAAGGTACAAACATTTCCAATGTTTCAAATTTGCTGCAGATTTTGTGTAATCTTTATTAGTTCTTTCACAACAACTATTGCCCCAGATATTCACATTATAGTGTCATCTTATAATTAACCTGCAGTTCCTTTGTATCATTATATTCACAAAAACACTGGCAAGTTTTGAACTAAAAGCTCATCCTGGTCAGATTATTATCTGCCACCACGTTCTGTATAGTTTGTGAGCAATCTGTATGACTGTATATATATTCTGTGCAGTCTGTACAGCTATAAAGATCAGTATTGTTTTCGTCTAGCTAATCAAGTGTGATTTACTTTCTATTCTCCCATTCTGTGTCTGTAAGTTAGCACCACGTCCAACACAAAGACAGCAAGAGATGTTTATAGAAGGATGCTATGCTCCTTCAGGGAATAAGAGCTTTAAATTCCAACAGATCTAGTTCAGATAGTATCAGAGCGAGACAGGTAGGGTCATAGGTCCAAGCTAAAACCAAGCAGACATTTATCCCTAATCTCTCAAGGAATGAAAGAGGAAGTGGGTCATCAGTGGACTGTTACTTCTTGGCTTAAACCTCCAGTGAGAGTGAAAGAGAAAGCAAGCCCACAGTTCAAGGACCTCCTGAGTCAGTAATTCTGTGCATCCCTTCGTGATTTACAGTTTCTGTAGCTCCTTTCAAGAGTTTATTCAGCTGCTTTTAGAGTGCACGTATACCTTTCATAATCATAATATTCTCTGCCATAATTCTCTGCCAAAATTACACATAGATATGGTGCCTCGTTCATTTCAAATCTGTTGTTCCCAAGGGCAGGAAGTAGTGAGTAGTTAGCTATTCCCCCCTCACATACCAGTCATGAAGTTCTAAGCCTCTACTGCCCTCTTCCTACCCCTGTTTTTGTCTATCCTGTCTTCATCCAGAAATAATTCTACAACTCTGAGCTCTCCAAAAAATTGCAGCCCATCTGTATATGACTTGTATTTCTGCAACATCTTTTATTGAGTGTCTCACTTTATAGCTGGGGGTACCAAGTGTTCATTCAGTATCAGCACTCCATCCATAATCTTCCATAATCTCTGTCACGTATCAGAGCTGTGGTCGGGAGAAAAAGTTATTATTCCAAATATTGCTTTCATACAAAGAGAAGGTTTTTTTTGTTTTGTTTTGTTTGTTTGGTTGGTTCGTTGGTTGGTTGGTTCTGGGGTTTTGTGGATTTTTTTGTTTTGTTTTGTTTTTGATTCTTTCTTTTGCACATTCTTTTCAGCCTTGGTAGAGCTTAGAGATTATTAGGCATTTTCAGATGTTTACTATGCACATAGAACCTCACAGCCTGCAGAACAGCTGAAGAAACTTTAAAGGATTCACAGACAACTAACAAAGGGGAAAGCAAGTTGAATGCTGCAGTTTGCTGACTAGGGGAAAGGAAAGGAGATGGTTTATAGAGTAGACAAACAAAAACAAAAACAAAAAAAAAAACAGACTAAGTATGCTTACAGGTTATTCCTTCTAGGACAATTTTAATTCGAGAAAGTGCCCAGAAGTAGATGTTTCTGTTGAGATTGCTGTATCAGATAAACATGTCTTGCCATTATATTCCAAGAAATGAGGAGGGCCCTCCATAATACAGACAAAACATAGAAAACTGCATTTGTAGTCGTTGTATTACTTATGGACAGGTATTTCCTCCATCCACACACAAAAAAAGATTTCCATCAAATTTATCATAATTCTCAAAGTCAGTCATGCAAATTCTCCCAGGGACCCAACTATTGTACCTTTGTGACTTTGTCATACTGTAGGCCAGGGAAAGGAGGTCCTTTACCAGAGTGTGGCACAAGTTTGGTTTCTGTGCCTGCCCTTGGATGTCTGTGCCTTGCAGTGACTACAGCCTTTTGTGCATGCCTTTCTCCATACAAGAGAGAAGTCCTGAAGGCACAGCTTCTCACTGACCAGGAGAATCTCACAGGTATGTGATGTTGGCAGCTGTAACCACACAAAGGCTGTATGCTAGCATCTAAGTTGAGACATCTCTGCTCACCGGAAGGACCAGGAACAAACAGTGATCACTGCTAAGGCAAAGCCCAACAGTTAAGTGACATATGAGGAACTATATCCCTGTTGTTGAATATAAACCTTTTCCACACCAGGAAATCCCCTCTGAGAGCAGGATTACTGCCATGAGTTAAGATGGTGGATGATTCATTTGGAAATTTGATAGTGGGCTTGGGGCATCTTCAAGCAGAACAGCAGGTATAACATGCAGTCAGTCTTGAGAGAAGTCCAAATACAAGTGGTTGCTCTGTCTCATTTGCCTTGGGCTATATGCCTTCCTCAAGAGAGAAGAGAACAGAAGCTGGGAAAACAACAAGAAAGACTGAACAGTAATGTAGACCAACCCTTTTTTCTCTCCTCCAGGCCTGGGCAATGTTTTCTTCCTCTCTTCCTCAGATCCATGTCATGTTGATAGCTCAGCATCTTGCCCTTATGGCTCAGTATCTTGCTCTAGAGACAGGGATCTGAGAAACGGAAGAGAATAGACACTTCACACAGAGGGTGAGGCACCAGTCCCTCAGTAGGTAGCAAATTACTTCCTCTTCTTCAGCATTCTCCGAACCAGGAAACAGCTCGTAGCCACAGCAGTGTGCTCGTTAACATCGTAATGGGCAAGGACATCATGTAGCTATAGCTGTGTTTTCTTGTGGTCTTAATTATTTAAAGGTATTTACATGGAGACAAAGGATACATATTTCTTCTGCAATTTGATTTGTGCTTAAGCATTTCTTTTTGTTGTAGCTTCTCTGGTTTACTCAGGGACATGCTGCTTGCTTATGAGGGATGCAGGGATGCAGGTGAACGTGGTGTGTGCTCATCTGGGCCTGCACAGTGCTGGAGGGTTACAGTGTTCCCCTTCAGCCACGTCCTGGAAGAGACAAGTATCTTCTGAAGGAAATGTTGAAGTCCAAACCTGCAATCTAAGAATGTATGCTAGCTATTTCCATATAGTGCCAGCTATTTCCAGTGCCAGCCTCACCTCCTTGCTGGACCTTCAACATGAAAGCTTGTGCCACCACCTGCACACTGAGTCGCCCCAGCCTCGTGCCTCGCACCTGAGGCTGCCTGCAGTCGGGGCGTTTCTGCCCAGCCTGCTGTGTGTTCCCAGAGCACAGCTAATAAACTGACAGGCCAGAGTGGCTCAGGAATTGCAGCAGGAGGGGGGAACGGTGCCAGCTCTATCCCATTAGAGCACTCAGAAGTGTGTACCAGAGAGGCCTCTTCTGAGCTCCAGCTCCTTTTTTCCAAGCCCAGAAGGTGGCTGGGTGCCATACGTACCCTCTCGGCCACCTTCTCCAAGCTCCGTTCCCAACGTGCACCGAAATTCCGGCGGCACGGGGACCGTGGCGTCCCAAGGGCAAATTGCTCGGGAGCCGCGCGCCCCCAGTGACTTTGCCCGGCCGCACCCGTCTCCAGGCTCTCGGTCGCCCTCGCGGCACGGTCGCCGGGCTCTTCCCTCGCCGGCCCGCCCCGCCGGGGCAGCCGCTGCGCAGCCCGGCCCCTGCGGCCGCCCGCGGTGTGTGCGCGGGGGCGGAGCGGCGCCGCCGGCCAGAGGGAGCCGCAGTCGGCGCCAGCACGGCGGCCCGCGGGGATGCTGCGCTACAGCTCGGGGCTTACGGTCACCGCCACCACCCCCAGGATGACGGCCGGCGATGGCGGCCGTGCCCGGCGGAAGGTGCGCGGGGCAGCGGAGAGGGGGGGGCGGCGGGGAGGTCCCGCGGGCCGCGCCGTGGGGCGGTGTGACCCCTCTCGCTCAGATTACCGGCGGAGCGCGTTTGGGCTTGCTTAGTTTTGGTGTTTTCAGGTGAAGTGTGCGGTGTGCGAAAACATCTCTTTGAACCTCAGTAGTAGGTCTGTGTAGGTGCTGGGAGAAGCAAAGCTTTGGGGTGCCCTGCAGGGCTTTTGTTAGTGCTACTTCCTGGCTGCTCTCTGGACAGCCCTGAGGAAGCTTTGCTGTGGTGGAGACTTTTTCCTGATATGTACAACGGAGAACTTCCCCCGAGACTCCTTTCCTCATGGGGAAGCTTACCAAAATGACTTGCATGGCAGTGATAATTTCTTTTAAAATACGGATGTAGAAATACAACTTACTGACCTCTTAAACTTTTTAATTTTCATAGACAAACCATGCTATATTAACACACTGGAAAATGTGTCCTAAAAGTTGTTAGAACTCTGGCAGGTATGATAGCAATGTCTCTGTAGCCACCTTGATTGAAAGAGCCCTTATGTGCTGCAGTGGCCACGATGTTATCACTGGGGGGACATGTTTTACATGAAGGAATAAATCAAAACAATCAAATGCTAAGAGCACCCATACAAAGAAATATACTTGTGCGATCATAACAAATCTCGAAATATTTTGGGATAGGTCGGTCAATCCAAACTTTTGTGCTTATAAAACCAGTGAAGAATGACAAATTAACACATGTTGTACACGGTAACACACAACTTGTGCTCTCCCACAGCAAAAAAGTTCCTTTTGTAGTGGAATGCAAGTCTCTTACCATGAGTTGTCAGAAGAGAGGAGGAAGGCAAAATAACTGCAAAATAAATGGAAGATGTGTGTCACATTCCTGTGTGCCTGTGGTCATGGGAAAGGTGCCCTGTAATTGTGGTGGTGTGGGGAATCTCATAGCGGAGATTACATAAATGAAGAAAACTAGCCAGATAAATGACCAATGAAAGTACTTTCTTCTTAGCATGTTTAGGGGAGACTGAAATTAAAACCTGCTTCGTTTTTGCTCTCACCTTTGAAACTCTGAAAGTAACACCTGGTCTTGGGCAAAGGGAGAAATTTTTGGCCCTTGAGCTGTTTGGATAGCAGGTAGTTACTCAACAAACACGTTATCCCAAACTGTTTAATTGTGAGGCATTGGAAAGATCAGCAAAATTAGATTTTTGTTAACTCCAAAGTAGATTTGAATTTAGATCAAAACTGAACCATATCTTCCCTGTGAAGGACTGTAAAAGTCTAAGGCTGAGGCTGGTTGCTGGTAGAACAGCTTGTATTTTTCTACCACTATGCTAGTAACCTTGGTTATTCTATCAGACCCTTACTCATTATTTTAGTACTAGCTCTACAGTAATTGCAGTACGTAGTTAGCTGCAGTCGCTCCCTTACTGGATGTTTCTTGTTTTTAGAAAGGAGGAATAAGAGTCTGAAGAACGTTACTCAAACTGAATCTGTCATCTGTTTTTGTCTTAAGTTGCACCCTAGTGATTTGAGTAGGATGGTAAACATGAGTGTGGATTGTGGATCTGGGCCATAAATTCTTAACATTTTTAACTAACCTAGATTGGCTTTTTTCTTAATTACTGTATTGCAGTAGCTCTCAGTTATGCTGTCCCTTTAGCCTCTTAGAAATTTGGTAGAAGAGCTTGTCTTCACCTGTCAATTTCCATTGCAGTCAGCAAACTTTTCTGTTTAGTGTTGTGGAGGTTGAACTTATCAGCCTTTGTTTTCCTGTCAGCATAATCATTCTACAAATGATGTCAGATGAGCTCTGGAAATACTGCTTGTGGGTTGTTGGTGTCAAAATCTGGGAGTGAGCATAAAATGTTGGCACAAAGAAGGTTATGTGTATTGTTGGCTTGTCAAAGCTATACTTGCTGCAAACCAAACTAAAATCTCATAGCCTGGGAAACTTGATACCTGCACACCTATTCCTTTTTGAAAGTTATACTCATAAAATCACAATTTTGATGACATAAAAGTATGGTGGAAGCCACATCTGTCCCTCAGGTTTTATCACGTGTTCTTACTGTCAATCGCCAACTGAAGGAAATTAAATTATATTCTTATTCCCGCTTGTGGAATTCTCTTTCATTCCTCTCTTGGGTTTCTCCCTACAAAACTCATTTGTTTCTCAATTGGAAATTACTGCTTCATCCTTGGTTGCATATTATTCTGCCACTGTTTGGCAGAGAGTTGAGACTCTTCCTGTTATGATTTCATTTCCATGTTAGGGCATCACTACAGCCATGTTTTGCTGTTGGAAGAGGGCTGGCTGTGATTTCTGTATGAGCCTGCTCATTCATTTGGTCAAGTAACCTTGCTGACAAATGGCTGGGACAGCTGTTTCTTTAGGAAGCAGTACATAGCAAAGATAGTGTAGACACAGCATCCATAATTGCTTCTGAAGGTTATAGGGAAAGTGGTGCCTGCTGTTTTTTCCCTTCTAATCTCTGTAGTGTTTGTGAATTTTAACATACTGGTGTACTTCTGTCATTAGGTAGCATGCATCATCTGTGGTCCAGGAAGAATAGGAGCGAGTGGCTACATTATACATTTTCTGCTGTTTCCCCAGAGATGTTACGGAAGTGCAATTGTTATAAACAATGGTAAGAGTACAGCCTGTATGAGGTTGTCCCAGCCAGGAATTCAAAACTGGATGGCACTTTGCCACTGTGATACAAGCCTCCCTGGGCGTGACTTGAAGGCTGGAATTGTCAGATGACTGCTCATACCACCCTCTGAATGGTATTTATGTGCAGCAGGCAGCAAAGTGAAGCATTATGTCTTCATTTTTTGTCAGAAATACTGCTGAAAATATGGTTGTGATTTGAGATATCTCAGTAGTTTGGAGCTAACTTGGAAACAAGGAAGTGGAAAAGAAATTAAAGTGTGGTTTAGGGAGCTAATAGAGAAGACATTGTATAAAGAAAAAATAATTAAAAAAACCCAAACAAACAGAACAAGAAAAATAGTTTAAATACTATCAACCTTTTATTACAGTGTTCTTAGTCTCAACAAATTACTGTTATTGATTTGTATTTCCAAGCTACTTGCTACAACTTGCCTGCTTTCCTTCTGGGTTTCTCTGATTTTTCTTCATAGTAACCTTGTAACACATGCACTGCTGTAATGTGACAGGCAGCCATGATTCACTAACTGGTATACACATAATTACTTACTTACAGTCACTGCACCATAAACCTATAAATGTGTTGGCTATAACTAGTCCTTTGCTGACTGACAAGCAAACCATTTGCCAGCTTCAGAAAAACTTACACAACTCCATTTCACCTGACATTGAGTTGCCCGTTAGTATGCGTTTCTGTTTCTTTGAGGTGTTTGTCATGTTTTCTCCTAAGTCTTTTTATTTGATTTAACTTAACTTTCTTTCATTTGAAACCCCTGTAAGAAAAAGTTGGCCTCATCTGTCACTTCCTGCACAGCACAAACTCAGTACTATTTCCTATTTACAGGTCTGGTCTTTGTTTGACTACATGGATGAATGCCAGTATTTCTTTCCCTTTTTGTTGTAAACACACTTGTTTTAGAGGAAAGAGCCTTGCTAAGCCAATGAGAAGAAAGAGCAGGGGGAAATGGAAATTAAATAGGTGATAAAGCATAGTATTAATTACTTTATGAATCAGTGAGCTCTAGCACTGAGGAATTTATTATTAATGTATCTTGATAACTTGTAAGCAGAAAGGACTGACAGTTTCTGCAGTGTAAGGGAAGAGTCTGATGTTCTCAGAAGAACACAGATAGCAGTCAATCAGAGTCTAAAGCCAATGTGCAAGGACCCATCTTTTTCAAACCTGTTTCATTGTTTCAGAATTATCTAGGAAATATTGAAACATAACCCACTTTTGTGCTGAACTTTCTTTCTTCTATCACTTTCTCTGGGGCTTTTTGTTCTTGAGCTGATAGCATATGGCTGAATGATGAAATAACAGTAAGAGCTCATTTCACAGAAAGTACCCTCCAAGATGTATCTAAGTAGTAGGTTGTACTTTAGCTTGAATTTGTTATGCGCATTTTTTCCCCTTTTTATAATACAAATATGGATCATACGTTTTACATAAACATTATCTCAGAACATTTTTCTTATTGATAGAAGGCACTGCAGACCAAAGAGACCTAAAAGAAGATGCAAGGCAGCAGAAAGTGGCATTAGTTGGTGTTCTGTCAGTGTTGAGTGGTCATCTTGATGGGATTTAAAGAAAGTCTGGAGTTGATGCAGATATTTGCAGATAGTTCTAATCTTTTTGCTTGGGAAGAAGAAAAAATGAATGCTTCTAGTTTTAAAACTTGAAAAGGGTCAATTGTTTGGAAGAAGGGAGAATGAGAATCTCTGTTGCAGAAATTCTGAATAGTGGTGCTATGGAGAGATTCCATTTTGAAGAGTCTTGAAAGTGAAGACTTATTTGATATGAGAGACTATTTGAAGAACTTGATGTTGAAATGGTGAAATTTGGAGTCTATGAGTAGTATTTTGCTGCTATGCTGTAAATACCAGCAAATAGAGCATGATTATTGATTTTTGATTTATTTGATTTTGAAGCAAAAGGAAATGCTATAATGACCAAGACATGAACTGTGATCTTTCTTGGGCAAGACTGATGGAAAGCTGTACTTCGAAGAGCAAGAATGTGTATTGCTTTTGGCATGATTCCACACCACATCCCTATCTCTAAATGAGAGATATGGATTTGAAAGCTGGACTATTCAGTAGAGCTTGGTGGATGGTTGCAGACAGAGAGTTGTGGTCAATTGCTCTATGGCCAGCTGAAGGCTGGACATGAGTGGTGACCCCCAGATGTTTGTCTTGGGAGTGGTGCTCTTCAGTATCTTCATCAACAACATAGACATAGTGGGATCAAGAGTGCCCTCAGCAAGTTTGTGGGTGACACCAAGCTGAGTGGTGCATTTGACACAATAGAAGGAAGGGATGCCATCTAGAGACACCTGAACAGGCTTGAATGGTGGGTCCATATGAACCTAGTGAGATTCAAGAAAGCTAAGTGCAAGGTGCTGCACTTGGGTCAGGGCAATCCCAGATATGTGTATAGACTGGGAGAAGAATTTAATGAGAGAAGCTCTGCGGAGAAGGACTTGGAGGTCCTGATAGAAGAAAAGCTGGACATGAGCCAGCAGTGTGCTCTTGCAGCCTAGAAGGCCGACTGTATCCCAGGCTGCTGACTAACAAGCAGGAAGAAGGAGTTGATTGTTCCTGTCTCCTCTGCTCTTCTGAGGCCCCATTTGGAGTACTGCATCCGGGTCTGAGGCACCCAGTATGAGAAAGATGGGGAGCTGTTGGAGAAGGAGGGCCACCAAGGTGATCAAAGGGCTGGACAACTGTCCTGTGAAGAAAGTTTGAGGGACTTTGGCCTTGTTTAACTTGGAGAAGAGAAGGCTCAGGGGAGACATTATTGCAACCTTGCAGTAGTTGAAGGGAACTTATAAACAGGAGGAGGACCAAATTTTCACATGGCCATATAGTGATAGGAAAAGGGAAATGGTTTTAAAATAAAGGGGAAATTTAGTTAGATGTTAGGAATAAATTCCTTACTCAGAGTGGTGAGGCAGTGGAACAGAAGTTGTTAGCGCTCCATCCGTGGCAGCATTCAAGACCAGGTTGGATGGGACCTTGAGCAGCCCAAGGATCTGGTGGGTGGCAACTCTGCACAAAAAGAGAGTTTGGAACTAGCTTCTAAGGTCCATCCAGCTCAAGCCATTCTATGATTCTGCATGGCTGGATATAGGCAGTTAGGAGAAACTGAAGACATCTGGATCAGAAAAGACACTGGACTGTACAACACTGATGATGGCCCACAGTAACCATGAAAGAGGTGTGTTAGCTGTTTGAAGAACAGCTTAGAGTCATTTTTGTCAACAGATAGCTGAGATTTCACAGGAATTTTTTGTGAAGCTTTGAATTTAGACAAGAAATTCTCATTCCATCATTTGCTCAGTTTAGGACTTAGGATTGTTTTCTACAAAGAAGTCTCGTGTACAGATAAGACTAATGTTTGTAGCCAAGTTTCTTGTATGAGAAGTGATGCTTTAAAAATACTGTTGCAGCAAAGATCTCAGCCAAAAGCATGGCCAGGAGTGATAGGGGGTAAAAAAGTATCAGCCCCCCTGGCCTTTTTCTTAAAATTTCTGTGAATAATTCTGAGGCTTTTCTTTTACAAACAATTTTGCAATTTTGTGTATAACATTTCAATAATGTTTCTGTTAGAATTTAGTGGAATTTATGTACTGTTGGATCAAATACTGAACAAGAAAGGGATATTCACTCCAGAATAACCTTTGTGTTTCTAAATACTCCCTTTTGAAGACTGAAGTATGCCAAATCTGCAAACAAAGCTGAGAAACTAGGAAATTACGTTCACCTTCTGATATCTGAGCTTTCAATGTCGTTTATAAGTATGTAAGAACATGTTGTTAATTGAAAAGGTTTGTGGTTTTTTGTTTGTTTGTTTGTTGCTATTTCAGGTATGTAATTATGGATGCCCTTGAATTATTTCTTGCCAGCTAAAAAACCCTCTAGCCTTTTACAAATAGCTTACTTTTTTGTCAGCTGATTGGATGTAAGTAGAAAATAATGAATGAAAACTTGAATGTTAGCACAATTCGTTTTGCAAAGCAAGTTATTAAAATTAATTTTTGTAGCGCTTGAATCTAAAAGCAAACTTCTGTTTTTCTTTCAGATGAATGTTTGCAGACTACGTTTAACAGTACCACCTGATGAAGTCTCACAGCCTGAGCAGGGAGCAAAAGAACCTGAAAGAAAGAAACATGTAAGTTTTAGCAATTCTAATCAAATGCTGTACAAACAAGGAGTAAATACTGGCATCTGTGGAATCTGATTTTAGTTGTTTTGGTAACTGGATCATCTTGGAAGACTGAACAGCATATGGATGCTGAGCAAGTCAGCTGTAAACTTTGAGCCTGAGCTCTGGTGTTGGGAACAGCAAAGCATCATGTAAAGTGGAAGGGTAGTAGTAGACAAACAGCACAGAGATTGACAGCAATGTGTGACTAAAGTATTTTTAGAACTTGATTATTTAAAATCTATATGCTGGATTGCTATAAGCAGCAGTGTCTTTCATTAAGCAAAGTCTCGATCCTCACCTGAAGTGGGGAATTTTACATTTCATATAGGCTTAAGTGTGTGACAAATGAGCCTTTGCCGTGTGTGTGAATTGGTTTGCCTGAGACTTGGAAGTTTTCTGCATCAGCTGATTTTGGGGCCAGTACATTGTAATAATTGAATGTGTACAGAAGGTGTTTAGTTGTAGCAATGAAAATACTGTCACCCACTGCTTAGAGTTCTGTCAGTTTGTATCTGATTGCAGAAATCCCCAGTCCAGCTGACGCAAATGGACCTATTGCCCTAAGAGTACTATAAGTTTGTTTTTGAGGAGGACAGTTATTGACTCATGGCTTACTCATTTTACTATGCTGAGTAGTGTAATAATGAGAAAGAAGTGCCAGTGAGCAGGGCTTCTTGGTCACTTCCTTATGTGACTTCTTTTTCTCTGCCAGACTTTGTATTTAATGAGAGCTATATTGTACACTTTTAGAAAGTGTATCTTTAGAACTGGTTGGGCTGTAATTGTTCAGTGTCTTGGCAATTAAAGAAGAACAACAGAGTAATTGTGTCATTTACTTGTTTTACTTTTTTTGTGTAATTCAAAAAAATACACTGAACGTGAAGCAACTACAAAAAAAAAATCACTGAACGTGAACTGTTTTTTTTTCATGCCTCTAAAGCAAGACAGGAATTTATTACCTGTAGATTTATATTGACTATGTAATATATTGCTTTGAATATTTGATTTAGTTACACAGTAACTTATAGTACACACAAGATTCTTGACTTGTCATACTCTGATAGTTTTATCTTACTGTAAGCTTTAAAAAACCAAACCAAACCAAAACCAACAAAAAAGCCTACACCAAATAATTCTGAGAGTAGTGATCAGTTATCTCTGCTGATCCACCCATATTCAGCTCAGTCAGCGTTAATGAAATTCCATACATCACATTGAGAATAAGAAATTTTACAAATGTTACATAATTCTCATCTGGTCCTATAAGAGCTGCATTTCCCTTTTGGAGGTAATGCTAATAGAGAGAAATTAGAGAAGCGCTCACCTTTCTGCCTTACACTCTGCAATTTAATGTCAAAACACACAGCTTCACCAAGAATCAAATGCGGCAGCAGGACTTGAAAGTTAGAGTTCTGTGCTGTCTTTAATGTTGTGTGCAAAGAAAAGCATTTGGGAAAAAAAAATCTAAGTAGTACAACTGTTGACTTACACAAATAAACTGCGAGGGTAACCAGAGGGTTTGTGCAGTGTTTGCTGAAGAGTTGCAGCAGATTGGGTGATCTGAGCATGGCTGCATGGCTGTCTCCTCTTTGGGCAGACAAGAAGTGAGGGAGGAGAGCATAAGAGCTTGCTGTGTCAAAGGGAATGCCAGAAAACTATAAATACACCATGGCGTGACATTTAGTTGTAATCTTCTCTTTCTAATCTTTCATTAGAAGGAGGTGATTTTGAGCTGCCCTGATGTGACATAGCGATGGCTTGCTGGTTATTTCTTTATTTTGTGTGTTCTCTGGAACTGAATACTGTTGTAAAGTGTAGCAGCTGCAAAATCAGCTGTACAGGAGCCACTGCTGGCACTGAACCTGCTAGCATCTTGCCCTGGAGCTCACTGACAGTTCAGAACTGATGCTTTATTGGTTATGTCAATAGATGGTAACTTAGATTTTTTCATTGCAGTCCAATTTTAGCAGAAAATATATGCCGTATTTCATTAAATCTCTGTCAGTGCATTATGTTTCTAGGCTGATTAATTTATTGTCATTCTGATATGGAATAAAAATGAGCCAGTGTAAAAAATAGAACAAAATGTCAGAGCTGGCAGTTTTGTTACAACAAAATTACTGCAGGCATTAAGGGCAAGAGGATGGCCTCTGCCTGACTTTTGTAAAAGGTGATACCCGGTCAGATGATGATTTCAAAAACTGAAGGGAGAGAACTTGTGCTGCGTGTGTCAGGCTGAATGTCTGTATTCCTGTTTAGCCTGTGATGAAAAAAACATGTGAGAACTGAAGACAAATACAAGTTGATTGGGTGGTTTCTTTCATTGGCAAAAAGCTAAATATCTGAATTGTTAGCACTTCAGGCTGAGAGTGTCTGCAACTACCATAATTTTGTTCCATTGCTCCTGTTACTGATAGGCAATAAATGAAAGTAGTATGAGGCTGTTTACTTCACCATGAGGTACAAAGGATTACTGTGCTGGTCAGATCATAAGCAATATCTGTGTGTTCTGAAGCCTGCCATGCCCTGCATAATAAAATGCTACTGAACAATAGTATTGTCTCTGTTTGGGCTAGGGCTTATTTTTATCAGTCAGGCCCTTTCCTCACTGTCATGGCTAAATTTGGAAGTGTCATTGGAAGCTGCAGCTAGATATTTGAGGGCAGAATATTGAGATATATATGGAGATTTTTTCTTTTTCTCCTTTGAGCAAGTGGGCAGAGAATGAAAATGAGATAATGCTTTATAAATTTGTCTTATTTTACTGGTTTTGAGGCTTTCAATAGAGTTTGAACAGCATTCATTCTTAACCTTCAACCAATACTTTTGCTTTGTATATCCTCTAACTCTTTAATTTACATTTTTAAATTATTCACATCCTAGAGATGAAATCCTTATTGCTTCTTGAGCAGAAATACAAAAGCAGAGCAAACATTTTTCCCACAGCAAAAATGTAGGCTATACAGAAGCCAGGAGTGGAATTTTCGCCACAGTGTGATGCAGATAATCAAGAGAAACTCGTGTCAGACCTGGATCAAGGAACATGAGTGCAATGAATATGAGGCTGCTGTGCACTTTGAATCTAGGACAGCGCCTATTTTCTCTGCTGATCTGTGGCTGCCAGCCCACTCCCACCAGCATAGCAGGAGTTGTGACATAACGAATGTGGTTCACCTGCTACAGGTGGCTGATGTTACTGTTTCTCAGCCTCTCCAGCACTAATTCTGTTTTTTATGTGCTATTTAAGCAGCTCTTTATTAAAACCAGCATTAAATGAAAGCCTCAGAAATAATTCCAGTGGTAGCTACTTCTGGTAGCTAGTGTATTTGTCTTACTTTCTTAACGTATAAAGAGTGGCATTACAGAAACAGTTTTATTTGATTAGATGTGGCACATAATTCTACAATATTTCAAAGAGCTTAGAAGTGGAAATGTGTTAAGTGATGCTTCTTATTTAGTGTCATGAGTTTAAGAACACTTGTGTTCTATGTCTTAGCATATTTTCCACATTTACATAATACTGATAAACCATGGGCAGTATGAAAAGCAGCTCACAAATCACATTTAAATATGAGTTTGTACTCGTTTCAGAGTTTATACTGGCTTCAGACCTTGCTTGTGCTATGTGCTTGGACAGATATAAACAGGATGCATGACAATTATTAAGACTTTTGCAACCTTGGGGTGTCGGCTTCTGTATTAAATATTTATTAAGTAAACACAGTCTGCTTTTCTTTAGGATATGTTGTGCGATCACACCAACTGCAACATGACTGTTGCTACAGCTTAGATGAAGCACGTTCCTGGAAGCTGCCTTCGTGTACATCAGCATAATGTGTTGTGGTTAACTTGAGTTGTCATATAACTGACTGTAGCCACAAAGAAATATTCATGAGTTTCTTAAGGTTAGCCAGCCTTTTCAGATAAGGGGTTTCAAGAAAATTTTGCAGCAACAAACCGTACTTGGAAGAGGTATTGTTCCAGTGCTGGAAGTGCACAGGCAGTTGGGAGTGAAAAAAATGCTCTAGATTTGGCTGATAATTTGACCTTAAAAGCAATGCTTGTCTAATCTAAAGAAACCTTCCAGCTTCACCTACTCTTCTGGTTAATTTTATAGTACTTACTTATTCTGTTATCATCACTGAGATGCCTCAGAAAGGAAAGGGGTGAGAATCTTGTCAGAAAATTGAATTTTCAGAGTGGATATATATGGAAGACAGAGCAAAACAATGAGAAGTAAAAGCAGTATCCTGTATTGTAAGTGGCACATGGCAGAACTGGAACTCTCAACAGATGATGGAGGTTCCTTTAATCTTTTGAAAGATAAGTGACAAAGAAATCTTGGGAGGCTTGTGCAAATATAGATGACAGACAATTGTGTCATCATTGCTGGAGAAGTGTGACCAGTCTGGCTTTATGCATACTTATGGTGCTCATTATGTGCCTATTATGATGTAAATTTAAATCTGTTCATCTGTGAAATATTGAAGTGTCATGGATGATTGATTCCCTTGCTGCAAAACCAATGGTCTGAATCTATCTTCCTTTGCTAGAGAGGCGTGAGTCTTGTAAAGCATTCCTTGGAAATGTGTTTGTAATGTTCTAAAAATAAGGAACTTGATCACGATCTCCGTACAGAATTCTGCAAACAGAACTTTAAACAATCCTGCTAATGTTTCCGAGGCACAAAAGATCTTCGTAGTTGCTGTTCACTTCATAAAATATAGATTAGAGTGGGTAAAGGTTATGGATTTATGAATTCAATGTCTGGGGCCTTAGTAACCTCTAAACAATCAAAGCAATTATTCATCTTGTTATCTGGAAGATGGAAACTTGTATTTAATCCCTTCATCCAGATGCGGGGGAGGAGCTGAAATGAAACTACCAAAGCAACTGTACAACCCTGGAAGTAAACAGATGCAAAAGTTTTGAGTCATATCCCCATCTAGTTCCTGTATTTATTCTCAAGTAATCAGGTGCAGGATTTTTGTCTGTATGCATGTAAAGAGAAGAGAAAAACAAGCAAATCATAACTATGTAACTTTTGGTTATCAGGATACAAAGCTCTGCATATGGCGTTTTCAACATGCAAAATAATATCTGGTATAGATAGGGCTAGTTGACCAGTATTTTTCTATTAAATGGTTGAAACTGTCTTTATCTGGTGTCAGGATTGTTCCCCTCCCAGCCCTGCGTGCACACAGAGCTTCAGCAAAATGATTAAGCCAGTAATGATACAGTAAAGCCATTTTGTTCTATAGTATATACAACAGATTTGCATTTTTACTCATTACTTTTAACGCAAATAAATTATCCTGTTCATTTTCACCCTACCCAAAGAAATATTTATTATTATGTTGTCACTGTAGTTGTGTAAGTTTGGCTGCTAAAAACAGAAAGAGCTATTGCATTAGACTACAGTTACTACCATCACCTGTCGTGGTAAGAACTAAAGACTTGCTGGGATGCGTGTGGATGTAAACTAATAAGTTTCACCTCTTTCTGCCTCTGATATGGAGGAGAGTATTTAGATACTGTCTAGGCTACTAATGTTATAAGGAGTCTCAAAAGTCTGTGAGTTTCAATACTGTGTCATTACTGAATAGCAAAACAAACTCAAATATTTTCAAAAGTAATCTCATATCTATTGACATCTTAGTAAATTTGGTGTGCAAAAGGGAGTTCAGTGAAGTTACCTGTGAGTGATTTGTCCCCATCACTGGCTTTTAAAAGAAAGACAATGCACAAAACTATTCAGTAACAGCTGTTTCTTTCAAGACTGTCTTTCTAACTTCATGCTCACAAGTAATTGCTCATTTTAGGATCTCAGTTTGCAGATATTCAAAGTTAAATGATATGATTTTTTTTTCTTCTCATTTTAAAAGCATGGACGTCTGTCTGAGCTAGTTTCTCAAATTCTTTGTATTCAGGAATATAAATTAGTACTTCAGGTAATTGCTGCAGGAGTGTGTTTCTCTGGGTTTATCAGAAGGGAGGCCAGGTGCGTAGTCGTTGTGGGTGGCTACTTCTGACCTTGCAGATATTTATATTCGAGGGCAATGGTTCCCACTGTTTGTATACATGTTTTTCTTACAAGGCATATTGACGTGATGGTTAAGTGGAGTCTGTTGCAAAGAGCACTTTAAAATAAGACATAAGTTTATTACAAATATGCTTCTAGAAATTTCTGCAGATTGCTAAAATATCAAACACAAGCACTAAAGCTGCCACTTCACTTTCCTATCAAGGCCTTCTATAATAGTTCATAACACTGAAACACTCACATGAATGCTGTTTCATAGCACTGCTTTGGCTCTTATAATATCAGTTGTACATGTTCTATAATTACAGACTGAGATGGACTTTTGATTGTTTTGGAGGTGTTTATCCTAAAATGAAAACTAAGATTATTGCTTCTTTATCTACAAGATAAAATGGTATTTTCTGAACTCTCACATAGAGCTTTGAAGTTTCAGTTTCATTTTCTTCTGAGAACTGTTGAAACATTTAGATTAAACTTGTGAATTTTGATGTTTTGCACAGCACAGACTTTGCAAGGGACAGGATGGAGGAATTTTTGTGTTTGCAAGAATTCAAAAGGAAACTGTAAGAGCAAATAGTCCTCTGGAAGAATGCAGAAAAGTACCATACAAGCCAGAAAAACATTCTTTCTCATGTCTCTCTCCTTACAATAATCCATCTGTTGCTCTTGGCTGTACACATACCATTTTCATTAAAGCTAGTGGAGAATTGACATCTAAGCTGATTACAAAAATCATTGATCATCCCAAAATATGAAGGTTGATAATTTGGTCCACAGGCATTTGGGATCTAGTGTTCTTAGGTACTGCTGTTCTTTCACTATAGTTGCTTGTCTTATGTTCCTGCCTTCAATTTTTAAATCATTCCAGAACTTGTTTGAAATAAAATATGATTTGTTTTTAAGGAGCTCTACCATGTACCAAATGGCATGTCTCCGGGGAAGCTCTCTCATGGAATGGTGTATGGCGTTGTGCACCGGACAGACAACAACCATAAGAGAGAAATGGTGGTTTATGGCTGGTCAGCTGATCAGCTGAAAGAGGAGATGAATTACATTAAAGAAGTGAGTTATGCGTTCACCTTCAGAATTTGTGAGATATACCTTCCATATATTTCTGTAGAGCTGTGAGTGTATGCGGGATGACTGATGTCACACCAAATAACCTCAAATTTGAATAGAGAACCCATTCTGAAGCTAATGGTTTGCCTTGTTATTTCTTGAGTTGAAAAAAAACTGAAGTACCTAAAAGCTAGGTGGTTGAAGCTCACATCCTCTGTGCCAGATGATACTCTGTAATACTTAGTGATTGTTGGGGGGGCTTACGGCTGGACAAGCAAGCTGCCTAACTGATTTTAAGGTTCCCATTCCGAAGCCTTCGTAATTTCAAAGTTATGCAGGATAAACTTTGTAAGCATGAAAGGATGAACTCTTTCTTATCTTCTGCTTCCCCCTCCTCCATCACAGTTTTGAAAAGGCTCCCAAATTAGGTGATATAGTAAAATCACTTGGGTATGTTTTGGGGCAGCCTTAAAATAGTCAGCCTAATAAGATGACTTTGTACTACTTTCTTTGTGCATGCTCATTTAGCATAATTGGCAAAAACTGTACTGAAAGAATAAAATGAATTTCTGATGCTGCTCGTTTTTGTGCTCAAGACTCACCATCTCTTTGCCTGTCAGTCCTTGTCTCTCAGGCTTTGGCAATAACCTTCTAATTAGCCCAGAGTGAATAATTTGACCTCTTTCCATCCTCCTTTGCCACCCAGGAAGCTGTTGGTCAATGGTTATCATCTTACAATGACTCAAGTGCCGGAGAACTGTGTTGATATAAAAGGGAGGAACACTGTGTCAAGCCAGCAGTCTAGGAGACTGTAATTATGTGTACTCTTAGCATCTGCCTGGTCTCCAGTTATCAGCACTTGTTTTTCTCCTTTATTACTCACAGATTTCAAGCTCCCAGTGTTTAACACCAGTACCTGCACTCGCCATTTAGGGTCTGTTGCTACTGTTACGCAGGCAAGGAACATGAGCTGCTGTTTTCCTGCCTGTGCATTTTATCTGAAGTGCTGTCAGGGAATATGGATGAATTGGTACACAGCACAGGCTACACTGCTTCTGGTACCTGATTCAGATTGCTTGAACTGGGAGCATGTCCCTGCACTTCTCTGTTCTCTGTTGGCTTGTGGCAAAGTGGGAAACGTCAGTCCAGACTGATAGCATGTTTTGCACTGGTACTTGGTTATAAAAAGGGTAAAACCTTTGAAGAAGTGGAGGCTGTGAACCAACTATGCTAGTTGTGAACTTTGGCCTGCCAGATAAGTTTCATCTTTATAAGCAGAGCCCTCAGCTTGTGCCACATATTCTGACTTAGCCCGGAAATGGAAGGCCATGTTCTGAACTACTGATGCTTCTTTTTCCTGTACCGGTGTCAAACTTGCACCTTGCAAGTGTGTGTGTGGGCAGGTGCATGTGTGTGAGTAGAGACAGGATGAGGAGTGCTTCCTTCAGAAGTGCAGGAGTCAGCTTCCTTCCGTGTTTCTCATCACAAAGGAAACATGCAGTCTGGGATAGGGTTGCATCCACTCCTTGTGTAGGTTTGGTGGCCAGTGTCCTCTTTCTGGGACTGCATATGTTGCAGAACTCCCAGAAACTTCCCCCTTTTAATGCTTTCCCCTTCTTCCTTCCCAAGCCCCCCTTCAGCTATGCAGATGCAAGGTAAGCTGACTGCCCTAGATAATCTGCAACCAGTGTGTGTTCAGCTGAGGGGAGGGGAAGAAAAAGAATTTGAGCTACGTAGCTGGAAGATAAACTGTAGGCAAACATTTAATGAGGGTTTACAATGTGTGCTCTTGAGAAAATTTGGTTCTTTGCATGTTTCTCAATGGCATGCAAACCCAAGCTGGCTTTTAACATACCTTTTTTTTTTTTTTTTTCTTTCCCTTTTTCCTTTCTTTTATTTTTTAATTTTTTTTTTTTTTTTAGAAAGGCAAAGTATAGTTTACATCCATAGGTATTAAACAAGGTCAGATTGGGTACTCTATTCTTCAGATTTGTAATTACATTGGTAATTAATACATTATTTAACTAGATATGAGCCTGGAAGTCCAAATTCAGTGAAACTAAAGGGTTTATTTTCAAAGGACACTTGGTGAAAACTTAATTAAATGCTGTAACAGAATTAATGTATGAATATGGATTTCATAATCCATATTGGATGCTTTTCTTAGAAAGAAAACATTGTATGTTCAAGTTAATTTTAATTCAACTAATAAACTAAATAAGTTAGTCTTCTGGAAAGTATAATTGAAATTTGTTATTTAAATTATTAATTTACTAGTGTTTAAGTGTACAGAGAATTTTAGAATTGCTCACATTTTTGTTTATATCATCTCTGTGTGGACAGCTCTTAAGAATTAAGTTCTAGTCTTAAGAGTGAACTATTGTTGACAAAAAGTTTTAATTAATTAATAAATAAAGGGCAATTCTAAAAGTAACCATGAAGAACACAGAAACAAAATACTGTGTCCCAGTACAAACAGTGTCATCAATAAGTCTGGTTGATAAAGGCATGTGATTTTTCTAACACCAGGTGAGAGCAACTCTGGAAAAAGTAAGAAAGAAAATGTATGGGGAGTATGATGAAATGAAACGAAAAATACAGCAGCTTACGAATGAACTGAAAGTAAGTATGCATTCAACTGTAGGGAAAGTATATGACAATAACTTGTCCCTGTACTATCTATTTACCTTTTCCCTCCAGGAAACTGAAGTAAGACAGGGATGCTTTTGTATATGGAATTAGTTGCCTGGTTATTGGAAATGAAAGATAATCTTGATAGCATTGCCTGGGTGCGTGTTCATTCTAGACAATCTGGGAATTATTGGAGATCTTTGTAGCACTAAGCTGCCATATGAAATGAAAAAAATATTGACTATATAATTAGGAGTGATGTGTGCAACTTAGAGTTGTGGTTTCATCAGACTGCTCTGTTTTAGTGACTGTAATGTTTAAATATGATAATAAAAGAAGTAGCAGCATTCTTTAATGCATGACAGTCCTAACATGACTTACCTTGTGGTTCTTAATGAACCTTTTGGTGGTCATTTGATGAACTCTTTCTTTGTGCTTTTTCAGTAAGACCTGCTGCAGTCTGTAGATTTACCTTTTGTCTTAAACTGCTGAGTTCTTTGGTCCAACAATCACTGACAACCTGCTGTGGATTTTATATTCAGTACTGCTATTCACAGCTTTGGTTCAGAGGAAGCTTTGATAATTAAACATATTTAACTTCAAGGATGTGGGACTCTGTGCCTTTCTTACCTCCTCATTTGAAGACTGTCAGTTTATGTATAAGATCAGAGCACAGAACAAAACTCTGTGTCAAGTAGTATAAAAATTAAAAATTTTTAAAAATCACCCCAACTTGAGAGGAGGGAGGGAAGAACTGAATTTTTGTGAAACGAATTAAATAGCCTTTGTGATGCTGACGATATGCAGCCCCCATCCAGTACCACGTAGGCAAACGCTGGCTTAGATGCAGCTTTGCCTTCTCTCTGGTTGATCCTTACTGAACAGCAGTGATGATATTCTATGCTTCCAGATCCTCCACTGGACCAGTAGAAATCCTTCATGAGTCCGAAAATCTCTCTTAATAGTTTCTGACCACTTCTGACAGAATCTCTAATTCCAAAGCAAATAAACAGTTTATGAAGGATTCTTTCTGAAGTCAATGGCACACTGAGACATCCTTCCTCACACACACACTTTCTTAATAATTGAGAGTGCCTGAAAAAAAAACAAAAAAAGCACAGGTGTTCTTCTATCTAATAACATATGCTTTTTAAAATTTGTTTGGTTTTGTTTGTTTTCTACATGACTGCCACCTTCCATGCTGTTTGAGGATCCTACTTAAAATCCTTTCTACACTCTTAGCTTCAGCTTTGAATCACTATGCTTTTTTTCCCCATCAATTTCCAGGACTACTTTTTGTTCATTAAGTTAGTTTGAAGTTTGTACTTCAAATACTCTACCTTGGGCAGTAAGTTTCTTCACAAAAGTTCTTATCTTGTAATTTTTTTAATTTATCCAAAGCATTTCTGTTTCCATTTATTTTTAACTGAGCACACATTTGTATAGAATTAGCAGTAACTAAATAACTTCTGCTCCCTGGCCTGACCTGATCTATTTATAACTTTGTTACTAAACACTAATTGATCTTCGTATCGATCAGTGGTGCTCTTTTGCTTTAACAAGAAACACATCTGTCTGGTCCATGACATAAATCCAAGTTGGGCTGGCTTCCATTAGTAACAATTTTCTTCTTTATTACTAAATGGTTCCTAATCATTTCTACAGTTTGGGTTTCTATCACCTCTTCAATGGTGTCATTTTATGCTTTTATTTCCTCAAGTTTTAAGCATGCAAGTGTGTGTATGTGTGTGCACAACAAAAGACAGATCTTCACACAACATAGTTCTCTGCTGACTTCTCCTGCCTGCTTCGTTCTGCTTGATTCTTTGGTGCTCTTGATGTTGCTTCTTTACATACTCTGTCACTTCCTTCTCAATTAAGGCTATTCTACCTTTCACCCAAACCTTTCTAGATTTCTTCATTTCTTGCATTCTTCTGATTTTCACCAGCAGCCTACCCACTCTATGCATATCATCTTTCTGAATAGGCATTTGTCAAATGTCCTCTTGTCCTTTCAGAAAAGGTTTTATGCTGATTACTGTTCAACAGCAGACAGCCACTTTCACTTTATGTTCACTTCTGTTAGCATATTTGAATTATATATTTTACTTGTTTATTTTTGAGGTACAGGCGTGTGGTTTGGGGTCTATATATTTTAAGCATCCTAGTACTGTGAAAATTAGCCATGGGATCTATCTATTCTGTAGGTCCCTTTGAGAGAATAGGTAAACTTGATCATTATTCTATATAAAACTTCTTTTTTTTTCCTGCTCAGGTGACAAATGCTCATCAGGAATCCTTAGAGAATCATGTGCGAGTGCAGGCTGCAGCCTTAGATAGCTTTAGTGAAATGAACAGCTCCTTGACATCAGCATCAATAGACTTGCAGGTACATTTTAACAGCTGTTTCACAGCTGACAACTTCCTTTTCTGACATGGATTTAAAAGCATATGTTAAACATGAATAACAAAAATAGTTTCTAACACTAAACAAGCCATAAAGTATTGTCTTGGATATCTGAGGCAGCTAATTTGTGACACTAAGGAAAAGAATACAGCAACTGTTTTGTAACCAACATTAAAAGACTGTACAATCAAGAGATACTAATCTGCCGCAGACTAATGCCACTAGTCATGTCTCTACAAAATATCTTAAGGTAAAAATGTGATTTGTTCTGTGTTGTGCAAAACAGAGCACATCCTGGCTCTCCTACCTTTGCTATTTAATAGAGATAGAAGTGGCATGTGTGGATGCTAAATACCTGTGAGGCTTTACATAGTTGTGAAATTTTGGGGGAGGGAGAATGTGGGGATGTATTTTCTGTTTTAAAGGATTCCAAATTCCCATGTATCTAAGCTCAAAAAATTCCTGCTTTCTTGTATGTCATAGTTATTTTCACTTTAGTACATATATATATAAAATATATATATTTATATATATGGCCCTTGGAGAGAAGAAAGGAAGATTACTGGGAGTAATATTTGTACTTAAATGTATCCATATTCCTTCCTCTTTTTGTCGTGCTCCAGGACTTGATTTCAGTGAGTATGTTCCTCATGGAAACACCCTCTAGCAAACCAAAAACAACAAAAAACAATTTTAAGTGTTAAAACTTGCAACACTGTTCACACTACATTGACAAATCAGGATTACCTTAAATATTTGTGGGTTGTTTTTTTGGTTTTCTTTTTTTTTTTTTTTTCCTGTTCTACACTTTCTTGACTATGTTAGCTCACTGAATTATTTCTGAATCTTAATATGTGGTTTGCCTCTTTGTTTCAGAAAACTCTGGTGGATGTTACTTTGGAGAACTCTGATATAAGGGAACAAATAAGGAATTTAAAACACACACATGAGCAATCTATGGAAAAGCTGAGAGAGAAGCAAAAACAACTGGAAACAGCACAAATTGAAAATCAGTTACTGAAATTAAAGGTGCAGTATATAAACTCCCCTGAAAACATTGCACAGTAAGAGCATTAGAAGTATATTAAATGAATTCTGTTTTGACAACAAAGAATCTCAGTTGGCAACAGTCAGACTCCTCATAACATGGGATTACTATCAGGGCATGTTGGCAGGTGGAAGTTCAAACTGTTAAGTAGTAATCAATGTCCACTGATGTAAGTTAAGAGACTTCATAACTTTGTACAGTGCCATAAGAATGTCTTGATGTTGAGTTTGTTTACATGGTATTGTCAAATTTTTGACAGGTAATCTCCTCAGTTTTATGACCCATAAAGTCAGTCAATATGTACTGTAACAGCAAGTTTTTTGGAAAAACAACTAAGCTATTTTTTTCAGAGAAATAAATGCAGAATATAGTTTCATATGGCAGAAAGCTTGCCCATTTTCTTCCCTCATCTCGCTTGTCTGCCAAAAGTATTCCTTTAATCTCCTTTAAATGAAAAAAAAAAAGCACCTCTTCTGTAAACCTTTTTTTCTCTGCTTTACTCATGTCTAATTTGTTCATAGAAGATGTTTCTTTTTGGCTCTCTAGTGACCTGTATTTATGCTTAATGATGAATGGTTAATAATATTAGTTTACTTCAACTTACAATTCATTTTCTAGTTTCCTTTCATAATAAAGCTTTAGAGACTGTATAAGTAGTCTCTCTCAAAAAGTGCAAATTACTACCTCTGTCCCTGTTTCTGTTTGGGTGAGGTGCCCAGGGGGAAATTGCAGTACAAGTGGAATCCTTCAGAGCTTAGTCCCTTTGCAAGGAATGAAATATGTTATTATCGTACAGGGCAGTAGGACACTTGTTCCTACCACGCAAGATAAACACAAGGGTTTAATAAACCCTTCAGTCCTTGAAGCAAAGAAGTAAAAAACAAAATACAAGAACCCCACACAAACAAAACCTTGAAATCAGAACCAGGGGCTTTGTGGTTGTGTGATCAACAGGGATCACTTCATTCTCCCTGCTGTAGCTCTCACAGTATTTTAGTATAACCTTCTCTGATTTATAGCATCTCTAGTAAGAGAACTAAGTCCTGGAGAAGCTGTTCTACTTTGCTTTTACTGGAGTTTACATAGTAAATGGACTAAGCTGCAAATGTCCTATCCAGTGTTTAATCATTGAGGGTGTGTTTTAGTGAGTGTTTTGAACCACCCTAAAGGGGAAATCCTGTCTCTGAATTACCATTCTTGCCCTCTTCCTTGATGCAGTGATAGAGTTGCTCATCCTATGGTTAAAAATTAACCATATCCAATCCCTGGGTCTATTAATTTTCAGCCTGGTTTGTTCTCTGATGAACTTTTCTCCATGATCACCCTGTTTCTTGTGCTTGCACAAAGAGTAGTACGTGAACAAGCAAGAGAGAGGAGAGTGCATCTGTGTCTTCTGCTTAACAACACATAAATTAGATTCAGCTTAAGGTAATCACTACTTTAAGAGTTCATGGCCATCTAGAAACAGGAGCTAAATCTATTCTCTCTAAAATACACTTTTGTAAAGTGGCAGGAGTCTTCCAGTGACTTGGACACTCTTATGGAAGGGCTCAGTAAAGAGTCATGACCTGTTCCTGGAGAAGCAATGGTTGGTTAAATTCAGGCACCATCAAACTTGATGAAATAGTAACTTCCACAAATTTGAATGAGTTCTACATTGGCCGTGTTGTAAATGATCTTGACACGAATGAAAATCTGCTTCAATTATGTCAAATTTATAGCAAGATGGAGCTAAAATTCAAGGTGTTAGTTTCATATCATGCGAGTTTCATTTCTCCTGCAGACATCTGTGCTCTACTGACTGATGGGTCAGCTGTAACTTTCATCCTTTCCCCTATTGTAGGTGGAATCATCACAAGAAGCCAATGCTGAAGTCATGAGAGAGATGACGAGAAAACTGTACAGTCAATATGAGGAAAAACTGAGAGAAGAGGAGCAGAAACATAAAGCTGAGAAGGAAATTCTCCTAGTATGTATATTTGGTCTGTAAAAGTGGTGTTCAGTTTGGGTGTCATTTAGGGCTGAGAAAAAAGTATATTCAAACGCAGCAGCAGTAATGATAATATAGGCTTCAAAATTTAAAATTAAGTATTTTGGCCTTTTTTTTTTTTTTTTTTTTTTTTTAGCTTCTGATCCTCTTTAAAAAACAAACAAACAAACCACTTTTGTCCAATTTTAGTGATATTTTAGAAGAGGGAAGGAGGAAGGGTAAATTTCACTGGACATTAGTTAGACAGTAATTCTTTGTGTCTCCTTGTCTCATTCCACCCACAAGTAAAACCTTTTTTGAACAGTTTGTCATGTTCTTCTAACTGCTAAAGACAGATGATTGAGATTGAAGGTAGATTCCCTAGCCTGTTTCTATTCCTGTTGTTTTATGTGTGAGGAAAGTACACAGCTGAACAGGATAAAAGCTGTCAATTGGAATAGCGTAGTTTCTCATGATGTTTCTTCACTGCTATTCAGAAGTGAAGAACAAATATGTACGAATAAATATGTAAGAACAAATATGTAAGAAATGGTGTTTTCCTCACACTTTCATAATGATACTTTACAATACCTCTGTGCTTCAAAATGCCCCAGATCTTTTGCTCTATACACATTTGGGATCACAACTCTTCCAGATTTCTAGGTAAGTGAACAGCTTTGAGCTTTGCTTACAAACTGCTGTCTTGATGCTACAGCCTAAGAATGGTTTCATTTCTCATTAATGTACTGTATGTTGTGACTGTAAATCTTCTTACATGAAGGAGGAAACCAACCGGCTTCTGAAGGCTATTGAGGAGTCAAATAAGAAGATGCAGATTACAGAAACAAGTATACAGGAGAAAGACCAGAGAATTGGTGAGCTGGATCGGTTGATTGAACGCATGGAAGAGGTATGAGAGTTAGTTGCTTGTCATATTCAAAGACAAGGGAGAAGTACCTGCAGGGAATGTTATTTATTTTTTAATTGCCTGTTGCTCAGTACCATACTCAGTGATTTACCACTTCTGTTATTGCATCCATATAAATAAATGCATCTAGATTATCAAGGAGACACTGTGACTAAGTGATTCTTCTACTTTTTTGGTGGCCAGAGCTGCTTTATGTAGTAAACCATCATTTTAAAAAAACATTTTGTCTTCCTGCTGTGTACATGGTTTCCCAAGCCTAATGAATTAATCGTAAATGACCCAAAAACTCATAGAAATTTTGTTGGTAGGGCTACTAAAATGTATTTTAGTAAGATATAGGCCTTGTTATTAAACTATTTATAGTTCTGATTGGAACTGTATCTCCAAATTTCTTCTCATTTGAATACAGTGCTAATCTGAAGGCTTCAAACTAAAAGGTTCTGAATGTTCTTTGTGGATATGTAGCAGCCGCTTCATTTTTCCATGTAGACTTCTACCTCATTTTGATGTCTCAGAATATTTTGGGAAGGGAAGAAAAGATTGAGTAAAATGCTTTTCAATCTAAAATCTACCTTCTTTCTTTTCTGACAGTATTAAAAAAATATTTCTCCCCCTAGCTCAATAATCCCTACTAAAATGTAATTAAAAACTGTTTCTTCGATGATTGCCTTTTAAATCTCTGAAAGCAGAAATGCTTTGAGACATTTATCTCTTGCTACACTGGCAGCACTACCATAAAACTAGTTTCAGCAGTTTTGTATTGTTTCTTTTTATTTCCCACCCTTCCTTCTCTTCTATGGATTTTGCTCTGGGACAAAATTTACAGTAGTATTCAGATTATTATTATTCTAATGCATGATTATGTCTGTGAGTATCACAATACATTTTCCTGCCTGGTATTTTTTTTTCTCAATCACATCTGTTGGACCTTCTCAAATATCTGAAACTGAAAGCTGAAAGCTTTATATATCCTCTGTCTCCAGCAGTTACAGTGAAATTTCTTCTTCATTTTCTAGTATCATTCACTGAACTAAGAATGAATGTTACTGTTTAATCCTTAGACTGTATAGTGTCATGCTAAAAGGGATAAGAGCAGCACTTTTAAAAGTCTTCAGTACTCTAGGATGTACTTTGGTGTCTCCCATTTAATTAAATAGCAGACATTATCTTTAGAGATCTTTGTATCTAGAATAAAGAAACAGAATGTACTGAGAAATTCTAGTAAGTAAAGATAATATAATCTTGTGTTTTACAAGTGAAATGTTTTTTCATCTACTTCAGTATGGACTTCAATATAGTAAATTTTTGCTACTGCTGAGGAATATATTTTTAATGGCCAGTCTTGTTGGCTTAACTGGTTAGTCTGATGCGCGTTTTTATTGAGCCTTTTTTGTCTAACGTTTACAAGTCTCATTAGTAGAATTAAAGATTACTCTGAGGAATCATGTCAGCTTAACAGGCCACTTCAGCAGCTCTGTTAACTTCATCTGGGCTGCAGCCTATCGCTTATAAGTATTATGCAATGAATAAAGGAATTGTAACACCGTTCTTACAGTACGGATGAGTTTCTTTTCTTTAGTTATTTAATTTGCTCTCATCTACTTGATATTTGCAGAGTAAAACTGAACGGCTCCGTTAAATTCCCACTAAACTGGATAGCAGATTCCTCTATTGATCTGTGTTCACTCAGTTCCCAAGTTCTCACAGATTTTTCACAAGCACTTTGTGGGTGACTGAAAAAGGATGTTTTTGGAGGGAAGAAATAGAGGAGTAGCTTGTATCTCTGCCTTGAAATGAGAAATCTTTTTGGTAGGATATCATGGAAAATAAGACAGTTATGTAGTTAAAGATAGTGATGATTCATTTCTTCATTAAATACGTCAGTTTCAAGTATCACTGCACATCTTCAAATGGATGATTGATAAGTCTGGATAGCTGGAATTTGATTCTATTATTTAATTCTGTGGATATAGGCGATGAATGAATCCTCTTTAGCAGCTGTACATTTGTTTAATTACTTTCTATTTTTATTTCACAAATGGTCTTTTGAATTGCAATGAAATATTATTCTTAGTGAAGTCTTTACATTTTGACATATGGAAAACTGAGGGAGGCTATTGCATTTCTTGTTTAGGAACGTCACCAGCTGCAAAAACAACTGGAACTAAATGAAATACAACTATCTGGAGCAAAATCTGAAAGCAACTCTGACAGTGAGAGGTGAGATATGTTTCGTCAATGAACAGTATTGCTAGATAACGTTAGGGGTTGGTTGGTTTGTTTTTGGACATCTGAATTTTATTTTCCTAACTTGAAATCTGCAGTTTAGGAGACATTTTCCATCTGATAAGTTCTTTGTTCAAATATAAAAAAAATATGAAGAGGATTAATCACAAATCGCTTCCATACATTTGTCCTGAAAAGTTGTTTGCAAACATGCAGAATATGTGCAACATAACATATTTAATGGATTGCATTTTTCTTAAATCTGCATTCCCAAATTCATTGTAGTATAATGCTAACTACAAACACTTTGGTCATCACCTTCTAGACCATTTGATATGGTTCTAAAAGAAAATATATTCTGTATCAATATGAAGCAATAGGATAAAATCAGCTGTAGGATAAAAAAAAAAGTTTATCTTTGATAATTTGAACTGATGAAGAGAGCAAGAGTTTTGCATCTGACTGCCAACTTGTCTTCTGTATAAAAGAAAAACAGTGAATATGTTTGACGTTTGGAGGAGCAGGTCTACAAATGTGGGGAACATATGCACATGAACAAAATGAAGGTGTGGAAAAATCTGTCCTGTAGCATCACAGTGCAGAAATAGGTTGTGAAGTTATTTGAGGGAAGTGAGAGTGATGTTGCTGGCAGTGAGACCTCTGTGAATGATTGTTCTGGAAAGCATGAGGCAAAGAAGGAAGAGCTAATGGCGTGGTGGCACCTGGGTGTGCTGCTTCTGCCCAAGGATGACATGTGCATCCACTGCTACTTCTTTGAGACCAATGCAGCATCACAAATAGGCAAAAGAAAGTTTAATGCAAAGCCAGAATTACGGTTTCAAGAGAAATCTATCCAGCACCAAGGTAGCGTAACTACCATTGGAGTGAGAATTGTGTCTATTACTCTCAAATGTTTATATGACACTAGTAGAGTGGGTAAAAATGATTTATAAGCAGAGACTGAACAATCATACTTGATTACTATTGATATTTCTGGGGACCTAGAAACTCAGTTTTAAAGTTTTGAAGTTCTGGCATCCTATTCTTCTATATGATGCACAAACGCAAGAGGAAGTCTCTGCCCAGAGCACCTTATTGCCTAGTTGCACTGATCTGTGACCTTCTTATTGGTTTCAGGGAAATAATGGCTTTTCATGTCAGTCTGTTAAAACATTTTAAAATGTATAGATGTTCCACGCAACATAGAATATGGAGATGAAAAACTATTTCCTTCTTTCCTTTACCACTGTGTAACTGATACTCTTCCCACTTCAGTGAATCCTGCTCTGCCCACTCAGCATGAAAAGTTATGCTGCAGTAAAAAGGGTAAAGGAGAGACAGGAATTTGTGCAGTGCAGAGTGAGCAAGCATACGATAGCAATCTATGCAATGAGTCAGTGAATCTGTATTCACATGATGAGGTCTGTTCTGAAGTTCTCCACCTGAGGAATGTTATCTCTTCTGTTTCTCCATTACTTGTAGTACTTTAATTTAAAATCTTTTAATGAGGCAAGATGTGTGTTACAGTTGCAAAATGAAAACTGCGGCTTTGTGAGACCTTAACATGTGTGACTAAAAAACTTGCAGTAATGCCTTGTTTTTTGAGTCCTTGTCCAAGTGCTGAGGTTACAGTTCCATAGAGTGCTGTTAACAGAAGCTTTTTATGGAGGGGAAACAGCATGCAATTCAGACATTCAATAGAATCATGTCATACAGTTTGCCATCTGCTGCTTTTCCTTAAAATGGTTGTTCTGTTTGCAACTTCAGCAGTTTCTTCTGCTGTGCACAGAGCAAGATTAAAAAATTCTTTTTGTGTTTGATTCCCCTCCTCCACTTCTCGAATCTGTCCTGAACCTAGCAGTACGGAAGCTTATTTTGCAAACCACAAATTGCTCTTATTTATGAATTTTGAAAACTGTATATTCAGATAAAAATGGAGGAGGTCATGGCCAACATGCCAATAGTCTCTTAAATATTCCCTCCTGTTTCAGTTTTTGGTAGGAGTTTGAAGAATGTTGTATTTCTGAGCTAAATGGCTTTTAAGAAAAACAGAATCTCTATACAAGGCCATAGGTATAAACTAAAAACATCCGCAGCAACTCTTGCTGACTGTTGTTGACTTATTTCTACTCCAGTTAGCTTTCTGCTACTGTTGGCAACTATGCCAAATACTCGATTCACAGCTGCCCCGTAGTAGGAGAGCACTTAAAAGGATAGCTGCAGATGTGCTTCCTTGGATTCTATTTAGTTTATATTTCCAAAAGGTTTGCAGGTGATTGTAAGCCAGGATAAATGTGTCTTTCAGGTGATAAAGATCTAGTTGTCTAAATGCCTTTTACTTCAAGGAAAAACAGATGTCTCAAGAAGATGAGCTTTATTATTATGCTTAACTGTCAGCACTTTGGGCTATGAGTAAGTGTGCCAGAATGCCAGAGAAAGGTGAGTGAACTTGGGTGGAGACAGCTACTTAGACTACTACACTACCAGTAAGACGTAGTTTAGACAAATAAAATACTCATCTGCCAGTGGAATTTGACTTGCCTACCTCTGTACGGATCTTCTTGATTTGTGGTGAGATTCTGGCAGTTTATTCTTGTTTTGCTTCTGCTGCATACTTTCTCACTTATATATTTAACTCTTCCATCTTTTGCTAGGTCACAGCATTTGGAGGAGGTAGCAGCTAGCCTAAGGGAGAGAATAAAGCATCTGGATGATATGGTCCACTGCCAACAGAAGAAAGTTAAGCACATGGTTGAGGAGGTGAGAACCAGTAAAACAATTGGTACATTATCCAGAGAGCTGTGTTCTGTGCAGTTTCCTTATGCCACCTTACTTACAAACGCAATGGAAGATGAGTTAAACATCTGGGACTAGTAAAGCAGAAAGGCACAGTAAAAGCAGTTTAACCCCATGCCTTTGGGTTATATACTTTAGGATGACTTTCTGGAACACTTTGTGTCAGTCCATGAACTAAACATATCATATATAACTTAATTTGAAGCATTCAGATCAGTTAAGGGTCTTCTTCCTATATGTGAGTAGAAGGCAGACAGACAGCAGTATTATGCTAAGCCTTGCTACTTCACAGAGTAGAGACGTTCATGAAATATCTTTTTTTTGTGTGTGTGTGTTTGGATATCACATGTCTACCAAATCAAACGTTTGGAAACTATTGTAATCTAAGACATTCGCAATGTACTGTTAGAGGTTATCTGATTAGACATGGAGTTTTTCTATTTTTATCAAGATGGTATTATGTATACCTCTATCTATATGATATTTGCCTATATTTGTCTTGGTCTGTGTGTTGGTTACAAGATTCTGATGGAGTTCTGATGTATGATCTGATGTGTGATACTAAGAGATCCTGTTTTACATCAAGTGAGTAGGAAAAAAGTGGGATGAAAAATCATATCTAGTTCAGCTTGCCAATTTTATTATTCTCAAGCATCACAGCAAGTGGTTATTTTACCACAATATTCTATGAAGGAAAATATCTCTAATAATCTAATTTATCTACTCAAAGCATTACTGGAACAATTACTATCCTGAAGTCTCAGGAAGCTAACCACCATATTATGAAGTTGTTTGTTTTTCTTGCAATTAAAAATACTAGAGAACTTGACACTTTGGGATGTAGGTGGCAATCCAGATGATTCTATTAATACTGCATTACATTTCTTCTAAGTATATTCTAAACTACTCCATGTAACCGGGCCTCTAGTGGGCTGTACTGGTATAGCAAATATTTTCAATTCCATTGTGTGTTTTGGCAAAAACATGTATAAAACGTGGGCCAATAATAGTTATATCATAAATGCCAGTTTTAATTGGTGAGTTTAGCATTTTGAATCGTGTAACATGTATTTACTGGCATGTTCATCTACACAGAAAGCTCTTCAAGATCTTTTTTGTCATCCTATTTAAAGAGCAGAATGTGAGACAACTAACTCACTACTTAGTTGTCAAATATATCTATTTTATCTGATGCCTGACTACCTGCTTTTCAAAATCAATTAAATGATCCTTTATTGTATGTAGTCACAGAGAACATACTTTTTACTCTCTGTATTTCTTGTGTGTTTTAATTTTTCTTTTAGTATAGTTTACTTGAGAGCTGCATGAGTGCTTGCAATTGCATTGTGATTAGAGAACTAAGTAAAGATTTTTGTAGCAGATATTTGATCAGGTCAGATGGTGCCAAATTAGTGTTTTTAATTAGGTGGTGTCTGTGGTGTGTGTTTGTACTGCGTTTCAGTAAATATCTAGCATATTACTGGCATGCTGCTTTAATTAAAGGCTTAAAAATAGCTGCTATATCTGGGTGCAGAGAGTTGTAGTTGTCCACCACTGGGAAGATCAGCACTGCAGATGTGTGTGCACTCTGAAAAACAGAGCTTTTCATGCACGTTGTATTTTTTTATACTTTTGTATATACTTCTTAAAAGCCAGGATGTTGAAAGAGACAGTTATAAAATCTCTGCTATGTGAAACCTAGAAAACGTGTTCATCAGAGTACATTTGAACACATATCTTCTTGGCATTACATTTAATGAAATGCAGAGTGCAGTGGCTACCAAGGTCCAGAAAAATGTCACACAGATCTGCCATGTATCTTGTTATTGAAATACTTTCGTGGCTGGTATCTATAAAATAAGGTTTATAACTATCAATAACTTGTATTTACATAATATAATTGAAAAATAACAACCTAAGAGCTGGGAAAGCATACTTTCTGAAACACTTCAATTTTTTTGATGCATAAGAGCAGACTGAGCACAGGCTAACTCGTTAACCCAGAATAGAAATGGAAAGAAAGAAAATTGTCAAAATTATCAGCAGTACTTTTCTTAGAAGCTGAAAAAAAGGAGACTATGAACCAGACAAGAAAAATGTGTAAGTACTTGCTTGACTGCAGGATGAGCACATCACTTAGTAATCAGTTCTACAGTATTCATCTTGGTATATTCAGGTCTAGCTCTGAAGTGTAGATGGGGATTTATTCTTTCAGTGTAAACCACAACAGATTTGTGCTGTTAGCATCTTAAATTTAGACAAAGTGCAGCTACAGAAAGGAATACCATTTCAAAGGGATGCTGAGCAAACAAAATATGCTGCTTTGAATTCATACAGAGAAATGTCAGAATTGAAGAAGTACTGAGACAAATCTGATGGCTGAGAAATCACAAAATAGATTGCTATTCAGTCCTTTTTTAGGTAGAGATGATGGACCAAGTGCAATTGATAAAAGGGAGGCTTTCTGTAAAAGAAGAGCAAGTAGTCTGAGAGAGAGTGGAAAAAAGCTTTAATAGTGGAGTTTTTAGATGCAACAGGCAGCTCTAACCCCTTCATTGCTCTTCTTATGGCACTTATATAAGGTATTAGAAATCTGTGGTCAGTCCTAATCTCAGCGTGCAGGAAAGGAGACACTGACAGAAAAGCATTAGTTGAATACTCTTTTCTTTCGTAGCTACTACAAGTCTTCATTTCTAAAGAAGCCGTCATGCTAGTAGTGAATGCAGTAGTTATGCAACCTGCCTTTAGTGGAACTGAGCCCAGGCAGAGAACAGTCATGGTTCAGTGTACTTATGCTCCTCAGCCAAGAAATCATTTGCTTCTGATTTTTCTCTCTGAAAATAAATCCTTCCATCTCAGGCATTAAGAGAAACCTCTTCAATTTGACCTAGACAAACTAGTCATAAATTAAGCAGGAGCATGGAAAACGACTTTGAGAAGAAAATAGAAGATAAAGAGAGAAAAAAAAAAAGCAACAAAAACACAAAACTAAGATCACTCACACAACTGTTTTCCAGCCTCATAGAGATCCTCTGCTGTGAGAACCAAGATGAGAGCCCATTAGAGCAAGAGTTGATCTGAAAGTTATCCAGCATTGGCTTTGAAGCCTGATGTGCTCATTGGACAGAAACTGCAGAACATTTAAGGCTGATGGGTTTTTCCCTGTGTTGAACTTGTTTGTTAAAGAAATGTTTGTTCCCAGCTTAGTGCAGATTTTAGGTGGAATGCTGGCAGCTGAAAGGGCAGAAATCCAGCCCCTATCTCTTCCTTTTTGAATTTATGGCTGAGCAGAGAGAGGCTTTCAAAGACAACCCAAGAAAAAGGCAGTTCTATCAGTGGCAGAACTTGCAGGGAGAGTCTCAGTACAGAAGTTGGAAGGATGCACACTTCAAACCCTTCTGCTAAGGAGTCTTCAGTGCAGAGACTATTCTGGACAGGCAGATACAGGCACAAGGGACACTATGGGAAAACAAGGGAAGGTGCAACCACAATGTTTTTTTAAGGGCATTGTTTTTTAAGGTTTTTTAAGAAATAGTTCAGGGAGAGGTGAAAGCTTGCTCTTTTCAGTTATCCATTATGCATGGTCAGTTTTTCCAATCTGTGCCAGTGTAGGAAATAGGAAGCAGTTTAGTTTAAGATAATAAAGCTAAAAATCTTCAAATGAAATGCAAAATTTAAATAAGCAACAAAAGCATTTATTGACACTATCTCCACTTCAAACCTGGTGAGATTAGGAGATCTTTTCATTTGATATCTGTGCAAATGAAACTGAAATGGATTGCAGTTTCATGCCACAGAAAACTTACTTTATGTGTAATATTATTACATAGTTAAGAAGAGTAGAGGGGAGAAAATAAATGTTCAGATTTGTAGGCAGTGTGAATGGATTGATGCAAATACAGGGAGCTGTTCTGAAGGGGACTGAAAAGAGAGAAGGATATCTGATTCCATGGCACAAAATTATCTACGGAACTCAGATTTCACACGGAATTCCCTAACTACTGAATTGAACTGTCTCTAGGTGATGGCCCATGAGCTGTTCTCCAGCTTTAGTCTCAGATTCGTTGGATAATAAAAGGTGACCAAACACCAGAGGGAAGCTGTATCCTGTTCTGTTGCAGAAGATACTTGCATGAAAGGACAAAGTACTAGTGAGCGAGTGATGTTTTATGTTGCACAAATGGAGAATAAAGAAGAAATTTTCCCACTAAAGACTTAACCAGCTGAAAACTTCTCTATCAAGAGCTCCAGACAAACTGAAAAATAGCCAACTTCAGTATGGAAGCACAGTTTTAATTTTAGGTCAAGTAAAAGAAGACACACAGAAGGATGAGAAGATGGAATTATCAGCCACAGACGGATGCCAGATTATTATTAACCAAAATCTGCTTTATATAGTACATATATCAAAACCAAAACAACAAAGAGAAAAAGAAAAAAGGAAAAAAGACACAAGAGCAAATGCAGAAAGAAAGCCACCTTAGGAGCCTGGAAGAAGATATATGGCAGAACATATATAATACTGCCTTCCCTGCCCTGCTTTGTTCATGAGTTTGGCACATCTCAGTGGACTTGAGCAATGCAATACGTTGCTTGTCTACTGGCAAAAGAAGCACAACTGTGGTTTGGTGGGAGTGTTTATATCTGCATGCTACCAGTGCTTTCAGTTAGAAACTGCTTGGCCAAATCATTAATTAGGAGACTTATGCACTACTGAAGTAGTTCCTAAATAGTTGGGTTGAAGTGTTAGACAAGATGTGGATGTTTATAGTCCTTTAGAACATGTTGGTCCTGTGGGCCTACTTCAGCAGTAGATGCACATCAAAGACTGCTATGATGTTTTCATACAGCTGACTAGTTTAGACAATGGAATAATTCCTATCAATCAGTTGCTAATTCTTTATATAAAATAGGAGCTTTAAAATCACAAGAGGTATTGAGGGGTCACACAGCATAACTAAGGA